CTGATCATTTGGCTGCTGCTACTGCCTGAGCAATAAGGCAGAAGTTATATATATATATCTATATCAGTTTACTGAATCTGCAGACATATTGTGCTTTGCTTGGTTATCAGATTCTTCTGCTTGTAGTGAAGACTTCAAAGGCAAATGTGGAGGAGCAGCAGAAAAGCTCCCATTGGGCCTGGGAGTCACTGCTGGAAGCACTTACTCCTCCATCTGTGACACCCACACAGTGTTAATGCGTTTTAACGCCTGCACATATAGACATTGGCTTACTCCCACTTACTGTGCAGTAATTTATTTAAGCCAGCATAAATGCATATGTAGACAATCCCACAGAGTCTCATGGCAGTAAGTATATATTTTTTTTTATATTAATGCAATGTCTAACAATCTATGGCTAATAATAAACCGTGCCTAAGACACCAGTCGCAGATCAGGACCCCACCATGCTAGAATATACAAATGCCTAACAAAGGCTGAAAACAGATATCATCTTTGTGCCACCATAAAAATTCTTATGGTGGCACGAAGCCCAAGCAAACAGATGTCCATGCCCCTTGTTGCGCTACAAATGCATAAAATCGTGGCTGTAATAATACATGGTTAAAATGTGTGCTGCTTTTTTGCAGTGGATGCCTGTTTGCTCTATGGCAGGAGGGTATGGCCAGCCCAGAGCTGCCCATGCTCTCCAGCTGCCTTGGGCAGGCACACCTAGGGCTTCAGGAGCCCGATCCTATGCACGGATATTCCTGAGGTGTGTAAGGATCAGGTCCCTGAAGCCCTGGGAGTGCCTTCCTGGGTTCCCTGCTTGCAGATGCATGCCGTGTGGATCCGCTGGCAGGGGAGTCCTTGGGTGTGTGTATTGTGCTATCATGCTTCAACCTGTGCTCCATTTGCAGAGGCATGCCCTGAATCCGTTCCTCCTTCTGCAGTTGTCCAACATGATCAGGCCCCAGAAGCCATGGGAGTGGCAGGGGTCTGACTCTGAGGGACAGCATGAGACATCTGTGTTGCCAATGAGGAGGGTCAGCTGTGTGGGGACACATCCTGGCACAGTCGATCCTGGTCCAAGAACAATGTCTGTTCATAGCCAGAAACAGTCTCTGCCCCCACCACAAATGGGCTCACACTGTTTACTTAGCAGCGTAAACACAATACTGCTTTCTCTTGGGTCTATGTTTTACTTCAGGTAAAAGGTCCCCACCCCATGCAAACCCTGTCCTGTTTAATGAGAGGTTTTTAACCCTCTTCCTTGCCAATGGTTGTCACCCAGGTGCCACGAACAGTTAAGTCTCATCAACACTCTCCATTTTATCATAAGTTGTTACGAAATGTGAAGGCTTTCTTAAAGCTCCAGCTCCTGGAGTCAAGTTATTATGTAATAATCATTGACACTTCATTGGGAAAAAGGAATTTTAGCCCCCAAAGTTACAAAGAAAACATTTTAAAGCCTTTATAAAAAAATCTAAATAACAACATTGGCCAAGGTTGGCCATACCAGGTGTTCTCAATAAGCCACTTATTTGTTTCCTTGCAAATCAAGAGCAACACACACGCACACCAAGTACCTCTGTCTAAGTTCCCCAGGGTCACTATTTCTGAAATGGTAGAGAAAAAAAGTATCTGGGTTCACCTTGAATGAAGGGATTATTTCATTTTTGAAGGTGGGTCTTATATAAGAAAAAGATATTAAGGATCTAAAGCAGGGGTGCTAAGCTTCCAGCCCACAGGCCAAATCTGGCCCACAGAGACATGGCAGCCAGTCCACGGGGCTCCTGACAGGTCGGGAAATTTGGCAGTGGGGGAAATTTCCAAGTCCCACGCAGCTGGATTGGGAGTGAGCCATGCCCCTCTTCCTTTCCCCCTCCCCACGTATCGCCAGATCAGAGTTGGGGCATGCCCCCTTCCCCACCGCACAGATGGATCGGGATCAGGATCAAGGACTGGGTTGCCCCACTTGCCCCCACGTGGCCAGAATGAACCCAGCTTCACCCATGCCATGTGCTGGATGGGGCTCAATGGCCAGATCCTGCCTGCGGACAGATTGGGCACTGCCCATCCAGCCCACAGGGCAGAAAGGTTGAGCAGTCCCGATCTAGAGCACCTGGTCTCCTCTCAAAAGCCAGTCCCTAGGGTTTAGGAGCACAACAGAAGGACACAGAGTAGCCCACATCAGCCTACTGCAGGGCTGCTTACACCTTCTGCTGTAGCATCTGGTATGGATTGCTGCTGGAGCCAGGGCACTGAACTGAATTCAGCTCAGCCCACCAATTCCAACAATGTTAAGGTGGAGCTTACTGTTGATGTTTAACCTAAATGCCTGCCATTGTCCTGGCAAGGAGATTCAAACCTTGCTTTCCACCTCTGAGTTGCAAGCATATCTGAGAAAGCACAAAGCCTCAAAGGGTGCAAGACAGAACCTGTGGCACAGAGAAGAGCGAATGAAAGGGCCAAAAGAGAATGAGGATGTAGAGCACACCCCCGAATTAGAAGGGGAGGAGTGGCATGTGGGGAGAGGTTCATGAGAAGACAGCAAGACAAGGATAAAGGTAAAGGTGGAGTGAAGGTTGGAGGAATGAGCCCAGGGGAAACTAGAGAAACGCAGAAGAGAAAAGTTGGAATCAGAGCTGACACTAAAGAAAGCAGATAAGGGGGCAGGTAGAAGAGATACTATTAGATGGACCTTTCTCTCCTGAAGAAAATGGTGAGATCATGAGCAGGAAAGAAGTGGGGAGAGAGCCCATGTGGGATGCTGTGTGAAAGCAGGATAGAGATATGGGGCAATGAAAACTGAGACTTGATTTGGTGGCTCAGACAGGTAGTGGAGGGTCTCGAGACAGGAATACCCTGTGCCATGCACAATGTGTGCTGTGTACACAGACCTAAACAGAAAGATAAGGAGCTACGTGGAACAATGAGGGTGACATGCAAGCTTCCCTCTTGTGAAAGGAACCCCTTCCTGATCCGTTCCGGCCAGCCACGTCCCTTTCTTCATTCAGATCGCCTCCGAATGCTCACTTCTTGTGCCAATGCAGTGCTTTGCCAATGCCCAGCAGGGTTAGGGGGGTTGGACTTTCTGCTTGCAGGCATCATGGAAGCGGGCATCACTGTAGGGTATCCCCTACCAGGAAGGGAATAAGAGTTTGAATCGGCACAAGCTCTGGAAACAGTTTTCCCCAACTGCACCACATCATGAAATCTGAAGTCAGTTCAAAATCCGATTGTTGATGAGTCCTTAGACAAGACAGCCAGTGGCTCTCTCATAGATGTGGTAGCTTAAAACAGAAGCTGTGAGCTCGAGGCTGAAGTTAAGTTTGCTAGCCTATGTTATGCAGGATTGCACAGCAATCAGAAAAAAATTCTACAAACTTAAAAAAAACAAACTTCCAACTATTAGAAAAGAAGGGAGCCCGTGGAGGGTGGGATCTGCTCAGGGCCGAGATCTGGGATTCGAAGCCATGCCCTGCCACACACAAGTTAAGCAGACAAAGGAAGTTTAATTGCCTGCTCTTGGATTCAGTCACTCGGCACTTTCCCTCCCACTCTTGTGTCTCTGTTACTGCTAATCTGAGGAGACAAGGGACCGTTCCCCCCCTTCCC